GAGAGAGAGAGTTCTTCTTCCTCTTCTTCTCAGTCCACCATCTCCTTCTCTCCCTCTCAACCCTTGACTTCACTGCATTTGCAGACTGCGAGAGAAGAGATACCGAGCTTGGTGATATCGGATCCAAGTCTCGACTTTTTGGGATTCAGACATGGCAACGAGGGGTTATTTGGGATCGGTGACAAAGACTTGGTGTTAACGACACTCCCATCTTCCTCCCTCCTTTCGTCTGATCCTTACCTCTTCGTCTATGCATGTCTGGACCTGGCGCTTTCTTCCTGTGTGCAGCGCCAGGCTCCTTCACACCTGGTGAGAGGTACGATGCATGTTTGGTCTGAGTTCAACCATCGGTTGGACTAGTTATCAACATTCTAGCAGTCTGTTTCGCTACTTGCTACTACGTGTGTAAGGTCAGTCCTTGTCAGGTCAGTCTTTGTATCTAAGTCTTCCCTGCGCTATTCAGCACTTTTGTATGTATGAGAATGCACATTGTCTGTCGAGATTCTACTCTCACCGCATTGTCCATTTCAGTCCTTTTCGTCACATTGCAGTTTCTCGGTTATTACAAACATCACATATCTGTGCATGTAACATCGTGATTGCATTGGACTGGAAAGATAGCGGGCATACATTCATGATCTGGAGGCACTGCATTCGAGTGAAGCCGCGGTTGCCTTCGTTAACGCCGGGTTCTACGTCGGTCAATTGATAGCTTATATGAAGTGTGTTTAGGTGGATGAAAGGCATGTTCATGAGGTTAGTGGTTGTTTCTCGACGCGGAAGTATGAGTGAGTTTGGACCCACTGGGATGTAGATGTTTGTCTCTGGTGCCAATTGGCTGCACGTAGAGGAGCCGGGATCACTCGAAGTGGAAGGCTGTCTGATATATTCCCGTGTGCATGCGGAAGTTGCCTCTGATATGCTCAGCCTTGCAGATGTCGACGATCTGTACTCTTTCGATGTTGTCTCGACCTGTTTATTTTGGGAGACTGGCCTTTCTAATTTTCGTGCCTGTTCATACGGTCGTGTGTGACTGTTTCCGTGTCAATTCATTCGTGACTGTTTATTCTATTTGCTATTTTGTCGGCTGTTCATATGGTCTTGTGTGACTGGTTCGTTGTCAATCCGTTCGTGATTGTAAGCGTCCGTCATTTAGTTTTGCCAGCGAATGGAGTCCATAAACGAAAATAGCGTCTGACCTCCATTGAGCTGGTTTAGGTTCTTGGAAACGATGCAAGCCCCTTTTCGTCGATGTTTTCGAGATGCTGGAACTGCTCTTCTTGGTCCCTCTTCCTGATCCTCCTTCTCCTCCTCCTCCTCCTCCTCCTCCTCCTCCTACTCCTCTGCAGAACCTGGTTCTTCTCCTCCTCCTCAGTTCTTCATTCACCACTTCCTCCGCCGTCTTCCTCTGCGCCCACCTCACCATCTGCTACTGGTGGCCCTCCTCCTATTCTTTGTCCGTTTGCTTCTTCATGCCATTGTCAGCCTCCTCTTTCTCAACCTGCCCTACCTCCTTCCCTTCCTTCGACCGTGTCACATGTGCTCTCTTCCTCGTCTCTATCACAGCTACCAGCATCCCAATATCGATCCCAAGTAGGACTATGTGGAACAAGGCGAACTTTCATGTCATGTTCTTTTGGTCCAAGTCCATACTTTCCTTCTCTTATGCTATTTTTAACCTTTAATTTACAGGTCCTTGCTTTTCTTCACCAAATCTGCCACCGCTCCAAGTAGCCATCTCTGCTATCACACTCTAGACAGAGACTACCAACTCCGCTTTCCTGCCGCAAAACATATAAGGGCCTCTTCATGTTAAGTGATTCGCAGTTTTACTTGGCGATGGTTGAATGTGCAGTTGCTTGGATTTACTTATTATCCTGTAGAGGTCAATAGTTTGGCGTTATAAAAAAAAAGGAAAAAAAAAAGAAAGGTCTCTTCATGTTTAGTGTGATCTATCACTGTTGCAGGTTTTGCAAAAGAAAGAAAAAAAAAGAGAGGATGCTCATGGCAGCAGTAGCAGTATATATCGGGTATGGTGGAAAATCTCTCGGGGTTTGATTTTGAGACGTTGCAAAACCATATACTAGTGTCCTCTTAGGACATTCGCTAAAAGTGGAACGACACACAGAAGATGAGCATGGGCCCTGCGCTTACTCAAGGAGGACACACGCAAATGGAGACATTCTCCACGTTTTTGCACTAAACGAATGAACGAAAACAATTGTACAGGTAAACGTGGAATATAGTAGTGCCTACGGTTCCTTGTGACGTATAAAGATTCTAGAAAGCAGTCGAATGCTCACAATCCTGAATTGGTACTTTTCTTTTGGGGACAATCAATAAAGATTCTAGAAAGCAGTGGAGTGCTCGCAATCCTGAATTGCTACTTTTCTTTTGGGGACAATCAATCATCATCATTTTGGTCCGTGGTTCACTTAGTGAAGGAATCCTGTGCCTCAACCTTACTACATTAGCACTCAAATAGAGCACAGTTCGTAGCGAATCGGAAATCGCACTCAAATAGAGTACAGTTCGTAGCGAATCGGAAATCGTTTCGTGTTTCCACTGTCAAATTTGTTGAATTGGTCATAACGTCTATTTTCGGATCAGTGGAATCAATGGAATGTTAATCATGCAACCATGTTGGCGGCGGCCTTGAGATATCATCATTGAGCTGACCGGCCCCAGGCAATTCAGAAATATTTGGTTTTACTCGTCAAGTTGCATCATCTGGATTTGAACTTGGGGTCTGTATTTCAAGAGTTCATCTGTGTACCCACTGAGCCAGGCTTTTGGGTAGTTTTGTTTTGTTGTATTCTAATAAATAAATATTGTGATGGGGTGTGAACTGACAGTCTGTAGGGTTTTCCACTGGTGTGGGTGAGTGATAGTCTGCTTTGATTTCCGTCACGGGTGCCCACCTCTAGGTATCAGTTGTCAGGCAGTCATTGATGCTTAACCACAACCGGGGTTAAGGTGGATGATCACTTAGCGTAATCAGTCAGGGGCTTCTGCAGACTGTTGAGGGTTCAGCCTCCTCGTTATGAGTAGGTGAAACTCCGAACGAAACAGTTTGTCACAGCCCCTCGTTTGTTGTCCTCTTCTCCCTCTCTGCCTATGGTTTACTGCTGTCGGGACCGGTGGGTCCCGAATAACATCCCGGCACTCGAGAGCCTGTATATAGCCAAGTTGTGCACGACAGAGAAATCTGGAGTGGCCCTACACCGGGCAGCTCTGTTTGATGATCTATTCCAGTTTTCTAATTCTTTGAATTTCTTTCTTGTTTAGGTCTCGGATTAATATCTTTTCGACTTCCCACTTGACGTGTGAGACATTTTGATAATGGTGTAATTAGCAACCGATAAAAAAAAAAGTAAAAGTAACCGATCATTCCTGTTGGTTGCCTTTCTAATAGTCATGTCAATTTCCCACATATGGGGGTACACCCAAGAGCTGTAACTCTAAATAAGCTCTGGTGGTTGGTTGTCTTTCTCTGAATGTGACACTAGGATTCTAGGGGGAACATCTCGTTGATTGCGAGGAAGAACCAAGGTGATGGTGGGAGTGAGAGCCAGAGACGGGTAGGCATTTGGCAGGTGGAAGATACTCCAAAGCAGTGGTCCGTTCCTGATGTGTATGGATCTTGCGGACCCACGTCTTCTGGCGATTCCCGATTGGACAACAGCTCTGGAGGGTGGATGAGGGATCAGCCAGCTACGGGACGGACCAAAAATAATTTTCGTAACTGTGATCAGAGGCAGCGGTATGGTGGTGAGGCGACGGCAAATCCGCGTGACTTGAATTGTGAGTCAGATTGTCAGCAGGATGGAAGAGGGAGCAGTGACAGCAGCAGGGATTACGGTGGGGAGATGCATGCTGGAGGTGAAAGTGAAACAGCTCTGCACAGAACAAAGAATGAAAGGCGTGGAGAGGAAGAGAAGGCTGTCTGTTGTGTGAATCGGAATCAGAATGGTGACCTGGCCTGTCTATCGGAGGATCGCCCGGTGGGTTACGATATGAGAACAGACAAGGAAGCTGTCCGCACAGCAGACGGAGGGAGAAGTGGAGGGGTAGAAGACGAGGATGGGTGGAGCAGGCATCAGCCTTTTGAACAAGCTAGGAGAAAGAGAGGGCACCATGTGTGCTGCAAAGAAGGGTTAGGGTTTCGGTTTTCTGACGACCTGGGGCAAAGCGCCATTGTAGTTGACGATGGGTTGCTGGAGCGGATTAGGAAGATGGAAGAATTAGTTGTGTCTGTTGTTGTGGATTTGAACTTGCTGGTTCCCTGCAGTTCAGGGCCCCAGGGGATAGTTTTTTTAAGCAGTCATGTGTTAGCGAATAGCATTTTTTTTCAGTTACCCAGTGGTTGGTATACGTTGCCGGAGAGTTGTAGTAGGAGTATTGTAGATGGGGGGGGCTCAGGAAAATCGTCATTGATTGGACCGGCGTTGATGACAGACCAATTTGGGGTGGCTTGTAAAGTTGGTGAGCATAGTGCCATGCAACAGTATTCCTTGCAGGGTGTGCAGGGTGTAGATCCAAGTGCCGATTCCATGGACGAAGAGGCAGATTCCAACGAGCGTCTGGATAATGGAGGAAAAGCGGGTGAGGAGAAGGGGAGCAGTGCCCAAGCACGTAAAACGAAGAAGAAAATCAATGAGGTCGTGCTGCGGAAAGGGTTGATGGCATTGGCAACGCGAAGACTGTTACTGACAAGAACTTGCACCATGAGGGATGTGCTGGCAGAGCGACTCGACAAGGCAATGGAGGTGAGTTTTGGCTGGAGTGCATCCTTCACACCCTCTTTCTGCCATTCCTTCGAGTCTATGAGGTCATCCCTCTCTCTTCTTACGGTGCTGAATTATCAAACATGGTACAGTTTCTGTGACAACGAGTTTTGAACAACTGGTTGCCTGATGCTGTCTACTGCTGAAGCTCAAAAAGAAAGAAAAGGAAGAGAAGAAAGAGAAGAAAGAGAAGAAAGAAAGAAAGAAAGAAAGAAAGAAAGAAAAGACGGAAAAAAGATGCTGGCTACCTAGGTGGAAAGAAAGAAAGAAAGAAAGATGGAAAGAAAGAAAGAAAGAAAAAACGGAAAAAAGATGCTGGCTACCTAGGTGGCCTTTTGCGCGCCGGGCGGGTCGTAGTATCGGGGCATGGCTGTACAACTGCCGTACTGCCTCGTTTCCCAGTGTAAAACCCTCACATTGTATTGTATTCTGGAGCCAGTTGGCGAGGGTGTGGGTGATGAGCACTCTGCATCTATACCTATGTCTATGACGAACTATACATACAGACTAGATGACCCGTTGCGGCTTCGCCCGCAAAAACAGAAAACTAAAAAGCACAAAAGAAAGAAAAAGAATAAGGAACTGCCCTATCATATGCCGCTTCTTTCACAAAAACAAAAAGAAGAGCCTGAGAGCAGACAGAAATCCGCGTGCAAGAAATAGGAGGGAATACCACCGAACCTGTTTTGTTTCTTTATCTGCGAGTGTTTTGTTTGGGAAGCTGATACCTTTGCAGCATCCTTTTTTTTTGTGCTGTGCAATAACTGTGAACTTTTATGAGAAATCCTGTCCGTTGTCCCGTTGACGTTTTTGCCAAAGATTCCGATTCAGACTTTTGTTTGCTATGTCTCTGAATATGATTGTGATAAAGCGATCTTGCATGTATGCCCCATGCTTACTTGCCGAGTTTTGACTCTATGTGTGCAAGTGCATGCGCGTGTGGGTGAGTCTCAGTTTGGTCGGCTCCGAAACTCTGTGTGTGCAAGTGCATGCGCGTGTGGGTGAGTCTCAGTTTGGTGGGCTCCAATGATGTCATTGATGATTGGCGCGGGGAAGTTGTTGGAAGTCGCCTCCAACTATAGGAGTGCCAGCCACTGATGTGAAGCAGGTTTCACATTGTATGAATGAAACAATCAGCATTCAATCAGCATTCAATCTGCTTGGAAGTTGCTCTTCGGGTGGGGGATTTGTCGGGAGTAGCGTTGACATGGGAGCCATAATGCCGGGCATTCATTTTGCAACATTTCCTGGAAAGCAAAAGGCAAAGAAGAAACGAAGTAGCACGTGCCCACCCCCCTTCTCTCTCTCTCTCTCCCTTCTCTCTCTTTCTCTCTGTCTGTCTGTCTCTGTCTGTCTGTCTGTCTGTCTGTCTGTCTGTCTGTCTCTGTCTGTCTGTCTGTCTGTCTGTCTGTC